AAGTGCTGGGTTTTAATCTAGACCACGAGTGTCAAACTCATTTTGTTCCGGGGGTCGTGTCCAAACGACTTTGATCCTAAAGTGTCTGGATCAGAAAACTCATGTCATATAAACCCCAAAAATAACAATAAGTTCAAATATTTGTGCAGAGAAACACAAATCTATTACAGAAATCTTTTTGAATTGATGAACTCTTTCTTTTACAAAATATTATAATATTATGAACAACCTGAAACTTTAAGAAAAATTCAATTTCAACACAAAGTTTTAACATGAACTTGTCTGTAAACAAGAATAAGTCAATTTTTTGTTGTAAAATCCTGCACTCGGCTCCACTTTTCTCATGTTGGACATTTTTCTGATGAGGGTGTCACGGTCAACAGTCAAAACGATCGTCCTTTAAGAGCGTTTGGAAAGAGACAAGTCTTCATTTGTGCTGCTCTGGTGGGAGGGGCCACGTACAGAGACGCTGGAGACGCTGCTGTGATAAACACCACACAAAATTAACACCATTTTAATACAAAATATAATAAAAATATTTGAGTATAAAATCAGCCGAGGGCCAGATTAAAGGTCTTGGAGGGCCGGATCTGGCCCCCAGGCCGTATGTTTGACACCTGTGATCTGGAGAATCTAAAAAGACATTTTTGGGCCACCCTAATTTATATATAGAATCATAATATAAAATATGTGTTGTGTTTGTGTCGTAGACGTGTAACCAGCTGGAGGTGCTGGGGGGACCTGTGTCCAGGGACGGTCCGTTTGGGAAAGGAGAGACTCTCACCATGAGTGAGTTTGCTCTTTATTTCCACTTCACATATATGTGTGTACATGTATATGTGTGTACATGTGTGTGTGTGTATATGTGTGTATGTGTGTGTGTGACTAGTTTAAACTAGTTTAGTTTAAAGTGAGTTTTTTTTCTCTTCAGAAAAGTCTCTGGCCGTGGCTCAGCATCACGACGCAGTGTCAGGGACGTCCAAACAACACGTCGCCAACGACTACGCACGAAGACTGGCCAACGGCTGGAACACCTGTCAGGTGAGACGCCCGCCGGGTGAGGCGCCCGCCGGGTGAGGCCCGCCGGGTGAGCGTCCTGCTGTATTGACCAGCACTGTTCACTTTAGACAATGGAGACACTTTGATCCTTTCATTCTGCTCCAACAGTCTAATGTCTCCTCGTTCTCTCTTTCTGTCTGTTTCCCTCACTCTCTTTGTCTCTCTGTTTCTTTCTTTCTCTGTGTTTCCCTCTCTTTCCTCTCTCTCTCTCTCTGTTTCTCTCTCTGTCTGTTTCTGTCTGTTTCAGGTGGTGGTGAGTAACAGTCTCTCAGCTCTGAGTGGATCTGCTGCTCCCAGAGTTTACTGTGACCTCCTGAACATCAGCGTGTGCAGCTTCACCGAGTCCAGCCCCGAGGTACAGACCAGAACTCATCTGTGTTTATGTCTGTGTTTGTGTCTGTGTCTTGTTCAGGTTTGTGTCTGTGTCTTCAGATTCATGTTTGTGTTTGTGTCTGTGTTTGTCTTTGTTCGTGTCTGTGTCTGTGTCTGTCTGTGTCTGTGTTTGTCTGTGTCTGTGTCTGTGTCTGTGTGTCTGTCTGTGTTGTCTGTGTCTGTGTTGTCTGTGTCTGTGTCTGTGTTTGTCTGTGTCTGTGTTTGTCTGTCTGTGTTTGTCTGTGTCTGTCTGTGTCTGTGTCTGTGTTTGTCTGTGCTGTGTTTGTCTGTGTCTGTGTTTGTCTGTGTTTGTCTGTGTCTGTCTGTGTTTGTCTGTGTCTTGTCTGTTTGTCTGTCTGTGTTTGTGTCTGTGTTTGTCTGTCTGTCTGTTTGTCTGTCTGTCTGTCTGTGTCTGTGTTTGTCTGTGTCTGTGTGTTTGTCTGTGTCTGTGTCTGTCTGTGTTTGTCTGTGTTGTCTGTGTCTGTCTGTGTCTGTGTCTGTGTCTGTCTGTGTTTGTCTGTGTTTGTCTGTGTCTGTCTGTGTCTGTGTTTGTCTGTGTCTGTCTGTTCTGTCTGTGTCTGTCTGTGTTGTCTGTCTGTCTGTGCTGTCTGTGTCTGTGTTTTGTCTGTGTCTGTGTCTGTGTCTGTGTCTGTGTCTGTCTGTGTCTGTGTCTGTGTCTGTGTCTGTGTCTGTCTGTGTTGTCTGTGTCTGTGTCTGTGTGTGTGTCTGTGTGTCTGTGTCTGTCTGTCTGTCTGTGTTTGTCTGTGTTTGTCTGTGTCTGTGTTTGTCTGTGTCTGTCTGTGTCTGTGTCTGTGTCTTGTCTGTGTCTGTGTCTGTCTGTCTGTGTCTGTGTCTGTGTCTGTGTCTGTGTCTGTCTGTGTCTGTGTCTGTGTCTGTGTCTGTGTCTGTGTCTGTGTCTGTCTGTGTCTGTGTCTGTGTCTGTGTCTGTCTGTCTGTGTCTGTGTGTCTGTCTGTGTCGTGTCTGTGTCTGTGTCTGTGTCTGTGTCTGTGTGTGTCTGTCTGTCTGTCTGTCTGTGTGTCTGTGTCTGTCTGTGTCTGTGTCTGTGTCTGTGTCTGTGTCTGTGTCTGTCTGTGTCTGTCTGTGTTTGTCTGTCTGTGTTGTCTGTGTCTGTGTCTGTGTCTGTCTGTGTTTGTCTGTGTTTGTCTGTGTCTGTCTGTGTTTGTCTGTGTCTGTGTCTGTGTCTGTCTGTGTTTGTCTGTGTCTGTGTTTGTCTGTGTCTGTCTGTGTCTGTCTGTGTCTGTGTCTGTGTTTGTCTGTGTCTGTGTGTTGTCTGTGTCTGTGTTTGTCTGTGTTCTGTGTGTGTCTGTCTGTGTCTGTGTTGTCTGTGTCTGTGTTGTCTGTGTTTGTCTGTGTTTGTCTGTGTCTGTCTGTGTCTGTCTGTGTGTGTCTGTGTGTCTGTCTGTGTGTGTCTGTGTCTGTCTGTGTCTGTCTGTGTGTCTGTCTGTCTGTCTGTGTTTGTCTGTGTTTGTCTGTGTCTGTGTCTGTGTGTGTGTCTGTCTGTGTTTGTCTGTGTCTGTCTGTGTCTGTGTCTGTCTGTCTGTGTCTGTCTGTCTGTGTGTCTGTGTCTGTGTCTGTGTCTGTCTGTTTGTCTGTGTCTGTCTGTGTCTGTCTGTGTCTGTCTGTGTTTGTCTGTGTCTGTGTCTGTCTGTGTCTGTCTGTGTTGTCTGTGTCTGTCTGTGTTGTCTGTGTCTGTCTGTCTGTGTCTGTGTCTGTCTGTCTGTGTCTGTGTGTCTGTGTCTGTCTGTGTGTGTCTGTGTCTGTCTGTGTGTCTGTGTTGTCTGTGTCTGTGTTTGTCTGTGTCTGTCTGTGTTTCTGTCTGTGTCTGTCTGTGTCTGTCTGTGTCTGTCTGTGTCTGTCTGTGTCTGTGTCTGTGTGTTTGTCTGTGTCTGTGTCTGTGTCTGTGTCTGTCTGTGTCTGTCTGTGTCTGTGTCTGTCTGTGTCTGTCTGTGTTTGTCTGTGTCCTCGTCCTCTCTTAACCTCTCTGTGCTCGTCTAGTTCACGGTGACGGTGTTTAATCCGCTCGGCCGCTCGCTGCTGTGGCCGGTCAGGCTCCCGGTGAACGGGAGCAGATATTCCGTCTCTGATCCGGGCGGGAACCCCGTGGACAGTCAGGTCAGAGGTCACAGAGGTCACGCCCTGCTCTCCGCCGACTCACGGAACCACGGTCGCGTTCTTAACTGCCGGTGTCCCGCAGGTGGCGCCGGTGTCCGACTCCACCCGCGACCTGAGGAGGGGGCGGGGCTTCGCCGTGAACGAGCTCGTGTTCGAGGTTCAGGCTCCGCCCCTCGGCTTCAGCTCCTACACGGTGTCCCAGAGCCAGGACCGGACCGGGATCAAGACCGGACTGAACCGGAACCAGACCAGAGCCGAGACCAGAGCCAAGACCGGACTGAACCAGGGACCAGTGCAGATAGAGAACAAGGTGACAAAAACAAACGCACCTGTGACGGAGACGATCAGGAAATCACAGGCGGCGTTTTTTAGAACATTTCCTCTAAACGACAAAATGTTCTGTTTTATTCTTCTAAAAAAACTCAAACTCTGTGGTTTAAATCTGATTAAACATGTTCTGAAATTCTTCTATTAGTCTGTCAGTTCAGATTTCACTTTTGTTAATTCTAAACGAAGTCTCAAGAGGGTCTAAACTGAGGTCTAAATGAGGTCTAAAACAGAGTCTAAACGGGGTCTAAACTGAGGTCTAAATGAGGTCTAAACTCTAAACTAAAACGGGTCTAAAACTGGGTCTAAACTGGGTCTAAACTGGGTCTAACTGGACTCTAACCTGAGGTCTAAACTGAGATCTAAATTATGGTTTCTAAACAATGGAAACAGGTCGAAAACAGGGTCTAAACGGAGTCTAAACAAGGTCTAAACGAGGTCTGAACAAGGTCTAAATGCGGTCTAAAACGGGGTCTGAATGGAGTCTAATCTGCTTCTAAACGGAGTCTTAAACGGGGTCTAAACGGGGTCTAAACGGAGTCTGGACCCCGGGAGTCTGGACCCCGGGAGTCTGGACCCCGGGAGTCTGGACCCCGGGAGTCTGAACCGGGTCTTTTCTGTGTTTCAGTTTGTCAGAGCGACCTTTGACCCGGACACTGGTCTGTTGTCTGGACTCATGAACCTGGAGACCAAACAGAAAATCGACCTGACCCAGAACTTCTACTGGTGAGTGTTTGGGTTCAGCCCTGACCCTCTCACCGCAGGGTTCACAGTTCAGTACCTCCTGTTGTTGTTTCTTTGGGCAGAAATAGGGAAAACTCGGATATTTGTTTTAAAAACCTGGACAAATCACATGTTTTGTGTGACCGGGGTCACGGGGAGCTTTAAATATTCAGAAACATTCTTGTGTGTAATAATCTGTGTGCACATTAACGTCCTCTGTCGGCGTCACCACTTCCTGTTCAGTTTTATCTTTTGTGGTTTTTGCCGAGTCGTGCTAAGACGCATAAATATTTAAAGATAAGAACGTGAACAGGAAGATACTTTTGGATTTCACTGACAACGTGTTAAAAAGTACAAATAAAACAAACACGTGAGCGACGGAAACTTCTGTGATTAGAAAGAGCGATGTTTGTGTCTCAGTGCTAAATCAAATAATAAATAAATAAATAAATAAATAAAATTAAATAATACATTTGAATGAAAATATAAAAATAAAATAATAAATTAAAATAATACAAAATAATAATAAATATAAAAAATGCTACAAATTGAAATATCCTACATACAAAATAATTGAAGTCTTTATTTTTATTAATTTGAATAGGTAAAATAATAATAATAATAGTAATAATATTATAAATAAAATGATACATAAATAATATTATTTTTTTATTAAATCAAGAAAATAAAATAATAAATAAAAGAAAACACAATGCTACAAATTGAAGTACCCTACATGCAAAAATAATTGGAGTCTTTTTATTATTTTAATTAATTTGAGTAGGTAAAATAATAATAATAATAGTATATTATAAATAAAATTGTACATAAAATAATAAATTAAATCAATAAAACTAAATAATAATAAATTTATAAAACAATGCTACAAATTGAAATATCCTCCATACAAAATAATTGAAGTGTTTATTTTTATTAATTTGAATAGGTAAAATAATAATAGTAATATTATAAATACAATGATACATAAAAAATTATAAAAAAAAATAAATAAATAAATAAAATAAAATAATAATAATAATAATAAAAATGATACAAACTGAAGTACCCTGCATGCAGAATAATTGTAGTCTTTATTTTAATTAATTTGAATAGGTAAAATAATAATAGTAATAATATCATAAATAAAATAATACATAAAATAATAAAAAAATAAAATAAAATATAATAATAATAATAATAATAATAATAAAAAAAAAATGCTACAAATTGAAATACCCTACATGCAAAAATAATTGGAGTCTTTTTATTGTTTTAATTAATTTGAATAGGTAAAATAATAATGATAATAGTACATTATAAATAAAATAATACATAAAATAATAAATAAAAATTAAATAAAATCAATAAAACAAAATAATAATAAATAAATAAAAAGAAAACAATGCTACAAATTGAAGTACCCTACCTACATACAAAAATAATTGTGGAGTCTTTATTTTTATTTGAATTTTAACAGGTTGTTTTATTTTATTTTATGTTTGACGATTTTAATAAAAGTGACTGTTGCTTTTGTCTTCTGTTTTCGATGTTGATGACACAGGCCGAGGGATTCTGTTTTACACCTCTGTTTTCTTGTACTTTTCTTTTCCTTTTTTTTTTTTTTTTTTTTTTTTTTTTAACACAAACTGCCACAGAACTGATGTAAAACTCTGATAAACTTTGACTTGGTTTGGTGGAAAGTCCCTGTGGTCAGAGTTATAAAAACATGAAACGTATCGGATGAATTTTAAGTCAGTTTTGTGATTATTTTGATTATTTTTGTGGTATAATTTTTATTTCAGGTACAACGGGAGCGACGGGAACAACAGTGACAGTGATCAGCCGTCAGGAGCCTACATCTTCAGACCGAACTCCTCCACTCCGTTTGTCATCAGCAAAACCGCCAAGATTCAACTTATACAGGTAAGAATGGAGCTCCAGAGCCCCGCCCACTGTCCCCAGAGCCCCGCCCACTGCCCCCAGAGCCCCGCCCACTGCCCCGGAGCCCCGCCCACTGCCCCCAGAGCCCCGCCCACTGTCCCCAGAGCCCCGGCCCACTGTCCCAGAGCCCGCCCACTGCCCCAGAGCCCCCCACTGCCCCCAGAGCCCCGCCCACTGTCCCCTGCCCGCGCTCCGAGCCCGCCCACTGTCCCCGCGCCCGGAGCCCCGCCCACTGTCCCGCGGCCCACAGGAGCGGCGTTTTGTGACGGCGTTTACTCTGACCTGGGCTCTCACGGGCGCCGCAGTTTTCTAACGCTGAAGTTAACGCACTTGTTTCGTTTTTAGATGAATATTGTGATTTAAAATGTGTAAAATCTAAAATATCTATAACTTCTCTCTCCCTCCTCTCCTTCCTTTTTCTCTCCTCTCTCTCTCTCTGTGTCCCTCCTTTCTCCTCTCTCCTTCTTTCCCTTCTCTCCTCCTCTCACCTCCTCTCTCTCCTCTCTCTTCCTCTTCTCTTCTCTCTCTGTCTCTCTCCTTCTTCGTCCTCTCCTCCTCTCTCTCCTCTCTTCCCCGCTTCTCCTTCCCTCCTCTTCTACTTCTCTCTCTCCCTCCTCTTTCCTTTTTCTTCTCCCTCCTTCTCTCTCTCTCTCTCTCTCTCTCTCTCTTCTCTTCTCTCTCTCTCTCTTCCTCTCCTCCTCTCTCTCCTCTCTTCTCTTCTCCTCTTCTCTTCTCCTCTCTCTTCCTTCTTCTCTCTCTCTCTCTCCTCCTCCTCCTCCTCCTCTCTCCTCCTCCTTCTCCTCTCCTCCTCCTCCTCCTCCTCCTCCTCCTCCTCCTCTCCTCCTCCTCCTCCTCCTCTCTCCTCTCCTCCTCCTCCTCTCTCCTCCTCCTCCTCCTCCTCCTCCTCCTCCCTCCTCCTCCTCCTCCTCCTCTCTCCTCCTCCTCCTCCTCCTCTCTCCTCCTCCTCCTCCTCCTCCTCTCCTCTCCTCTCCTCCTCCTCCTCCTCCTCCTCCTCCTCTCCTCCTCCTCCTCCTCCTCCTCCTCCTCCTCCTCCTCCTCCTCCTCCTCCTCCTCCTCCTCCTCCTCCTCCTCCTCCTCCTCCTCCTCCTCCTCCTCCTCCTCCTCCTCTCTCCTCCTCCTCCTCCTCCTCCTCCTCCTCCTCCTCCTCCTCCTCCTCCTCCTCCTCCTCCTCCTCCTCTCCTCTCTCCTCCTCCGCAGACGTCTGTGGTGCAGGAGGTGCGTCAGGTCTTCAGTTCGTGGGTGTCTCAGGTGGTTCGTCTGTACTCGGGCAGCAGAGCTCTGGAGCTGGAGTGGACCGTCGGCCCGGTGCCCGTCCAGTGAGCCCTTTGACCCTTTGACCCTTTGACCCTTGAACTGTCTCCTCACCTCAGCAGCAGTTCACTGGAGAGTCTCAGGTCCAGACGTGTGACCTGGTTTCTGGTCCTGATCTTTCTAATTCCTCACACAAAGTTCAGCGTCAGGAGAAAGAAACAAAACCCAAACGATTTCCTGGTTTAGTCCTGGTTTAGTCCTGGTTTAGTCCTGGTTTAGACCTGGTTTAGTCCTGGTTTTAGTCCTGGTTTAGACCTGGTTTTAGTCCTGGTTTAGACCTGGTTTTAGTCCTGGTTTAGACCTGGTTTAGTCCTGGTTTAGACCGGTTTTAGTCCTGGTTTTAGTCCTGGTTTTAGGTTTAGACCTGGTTTTAGTCCTGGTTTTACTCCTGGTTTTAGACCTGGTTTAGTCCTGGTTTAGACCTGGTTTTAGTCCTGGTTTAGACCTGGTTTTAGTCCTGGTTTAGTCCTGGTTTAGACCTGGTTTTAGTCCTGGTTTAGACCTGGTTTAGTCCTGGTTTAGACCTGGTTTAGACCTGGTTTAGACCTAGTCCTGGTTTAGTCCTGGTTTTAGACCTCCTGGTTTTAGTCCTGGTTTTAGTCCTGGTTTTAGTCCTGGTTTTAGTCCTGGTTTTAGACCTGGTTTAGTCCTGGTTTTGGAGTCCTGGTTTAGACCTGGTTTTTAGTCCTGGTTTAGTCCTGGTTTTTAGTCCTGGTTTAGACCTGGTTTTTTTAGACCTGGTTTAGTCCTGGTTTTAGTCCTGGTTTTTTAGTCCTGGTTTTAGGTCCTGGTTTAGTTCCTGGTTTAGACCTGGTTTTTTAGTCCTGGTTTAGTCCTGGTTTTTAGTCCTGGTTTAGTCCTGGTTTTAGTCCTGGTTTTAGACCTGGTTTAGACCTGGTTTAGTCCTGGTTTAGTAGACCTCCTGGTTTTAGTCCTGGTTTTAGTCCTGGTTTAGTCCTGGTTTAGACCTGGTTTAGACCTGGTTTTAGTCCTGTTTAGTCCTGGTTTAGTCCTGGTTTAGTCCTGGTTCAGCTCTTCTCTGTCAGGAGAAACGAAACAAAACCCAAACGATTTTTCCACCATCGCTTCAGAACCGGAGTCATTATTATTATTATTATTATTATTCAACCCCGAAGACGCGACTGTCCTCGTTTAAAGATGAAGTTTGTGTTGTGTTTTGTGTTTTTTTTGTGCCGTTTTCTCGTCTCAGACTCTCTTCTGTTTCAGGGATGATCTGGGGAAGGAGGTGATGACTCGACTCGACACAAACATCAAATCGGGAGGAGTTTTCTTCACCGACTCCAACGGACGCGAGCTGCTCAGGAGAAGGTCCAACGCTCCAACACAAACACAAACTACACTGAAACACAAGAAAAACAGGAAAAACCCAAACTAACGTGTCAGTGCAGCTCCGCAGGTCGAGTCAGGTCCGTGTCAGGGCGGCGCCAGGAGGAGGAGGTTCTTGTCTTGTTTCCGCGTGTTTATCACATTTCGCCATTTCCAGAATAAAGTAAAAACAGGTACCGTGTTTTCCGCACCACAGGACGCGCTCCTCGGCCTCCGACCCTATCAAAAAAAACCCGAAACAAACGCACACGGAGCAGACGGCGACCGCACGGCGAGACGCGACCGCACGGCGAGACACGACCGCGGACACACTCATCGCTCCACGCCGACGAGGAACGGAACCGAGGAACGAACCGAAAAAAGCGAGTTTAGAAGTTTAGAATTTCTGTCGAGGTGAACGGAAAACTGTGCTTAAAGACGGGGGTATTTTTGGAGTTTTCTCTCATGTTTTAACGTTCCATCGTCTTAAAAAAAAAAACTGTCTGAAGAGATTTTAGACACATCCACGCGTGTTTGAGTAATCTAGCGATCTCTCTGTACAAGATTTCTCCATAAATACGATGATAAACACGAAAATCTTCCATAAATAGTACAAAAACGTGACAGAAAACCGCGGTAGTTTCGTTAGAGGAGACGCGCGGTGATTGTGTTGTGATGGCGCTCTGAAGGGGGAGCGACTTAGCAGCAAAACCGAAACTTATAAAACACGTTAAGATGTCGTTGCGGGAGATTATAGCGTTTACAAAACAATAAAAAGAGCGAAACACGTGAGGAACGAACCGAAAAAGCGACGAACGCGACGTGCCGCTTCTAGACACACCCTTCCTACACGAAAGTTTTAAAATGTAAAAAATGTCCGATAACGACGGACAAAACTGAAACGCCGTTTACCAAGATTAGAATTTCTGTCGAGGTGAATGGAAAACTGTGCTTAAAGACGGGGGTATTTTTGGAGTTTTCTCTCATGTTTTAACGTTCCATCGTCTTAAAAAAAAAAAACTGTCTGAAGAGATTTTAGACACATCCACGCGTGTTTGAGTAATCTAGCGATCTCTCTGTACAAGATTTCTCCATAAATACGATGATAAACACGAAAATTTTCCATAAATAGTACAAAAACCTGACAGAAAACTGCAGTATTTTCGTCAGAGGGACGTGCAGTGATTGTGTTGTGATGGCGCTCTGAAGGGGGAGCGACTTAGCAGCAAAACTGAAACTTATAAAACACGTTAAGATGTTGTTGCGGGAGATTATAGCGTTTACAAAACAATAAAAAGAGCGAAAAACGTGAGGAACGAACCGAAAAAAGCGACGAGCGCGACGTGCCGCTTCTAGACACGACTGAACAACTGAGTCACTGTGAACACGACGACAATCCAGCGACAGACACTACTCCCTACACTACTCCCTACACTACTCCCTACACGCCACAACTGAACACACCCAGAGTCACCGTGAACGAACAAACAAACAAAACCACTCACACATCACACTGTTGGGTTTCATCTAAAGTCCAACACTGTTTATTTGTGAAAAAAAGTTCAGAAATAGACCATTTAATGACAGTGCGACGAATAGTGCGGAAAATACGGTACGTGTTTTTAGTTTGATAATCAGAGAGTGCGCAGTTAGCATGCTAGTTAACTCTGCTCTTGTCTCTGACTGTTGGGAAAAGACAAAGACACATTAAAGTCACGATTCACAAATGCATCAGAAGGAGCGAGACACAAACAGTGGGTCAGTCTGTAACGAACCGAAGCACAAATGTGGATTTAACCAGGATTTGTAGAAGAAATTCCACACTTTCCGTTGCGTTGGGACAAGTGTGAGTCCATGTGCACAGTGGATAAAGCAGCACATATGTTTCTGTGTCCAGTGGGAAAAAGTTTTTCCAGGTGAGAGTCGCTCAATGTGGATGACGAGGCCCCGCCCCCCTCCCCCCGTACGCTGTCCTGGTTTTGACAAACACAAATCTGGTCACACTGACCTGTATTCACCTGAGTCATGTCTTTTAATCCAACACAAGTTGAACCACATCAGCGACACAAGAGCTGGAGTTTTATCTTCACTTAGTTTATGTAAATTAGTGATGTGGTTTTAAGTTTTGTTTCTGTGAGATTTGAACAAAACTGAATTAAACACATTATAATGTCAAACAGCTGATGTGGATCTAGAGTCGTTATGTTTATATGTCGTAAAGTTGAATTTATTGATGCAGATTAGTGCAGATAGTAATAATAATGATGATCATTTTAATATAAAAACCTTAATGATTCATCGAAAATCGATCATTAATTCTTCCGACGATCGATTAAGAAAATTTAATCAAATGTCCGTCTCTAGTCTGGGTCAGCGTCTGTGAGTAGAACTGAACACAACACGACCTCGACTCTGACCCTCGCGTCTCGAGGTTTTTCAGTTTAACTTGTTTATTTGATTTATTTTGTGCTTCAGGAAAGATTTCCGCCCGACGTGGAAACTGAAACAGTCTGAGCCCATCGCTGGAAACTATTACCCCATAAACTCCAGAGCCTTTATCACCGTGAGTCTGAGAACACCCTGACCTGAGTCCTCAGCGCGCACGCACGCAGTCCTGGTTTAGTCCTGGTTTAGTTTGGTCCAATTTAGTGCAAATCTAGTCCTAGTTCAGTCCTGCTTTAGTCCAGGTTTCATCCAGATTTAGTCCAGGTTCAGTCTTGGTTTAGTCCAGGTTTATTCCAGTTTTAGTCCTGGGTTTAGTCCTGGTTTTGACCTGGTTTAGTCCTGGTTTTAGTCCTGGTTTAGTCCTGGTTTAGTCCCTGGTTTAGTCCCTGGTTTAGTTCTGGTTTAGTCCTGGTTTAGTCCTGGTTTAGTCCTGGTTTAGTCCCTGGTTTAGTCCCTGGTTTAGTCCTGGTTTAAGTCGCTCAAAAAGTGTGACTTGTACATCTTTTTTTTCTTCTTCATGACACATTTTTTGTCTGGTTCGACTTATTGTCCGAAAAACACTGGATTTGGAAAGTTAAAAAACTATAATCCCAAACCGTAAGACCTCAAATCTGATCAATTCTACACGTGTAGGTGCTGTAAAGTCATGGAAAATTCACTTTAGGTCATGGAAACGTTTTGAAAGTTTTGAAAAAAGAGTGAGAATCCTGAACATTTTAGTGGAATAAAACATAAGCAAAAAAAAAAACAATAAGCAAAATGATGACAGCAAAGCGTCGAGGTTGAATCCTGAGCCGCCACGTCCCCGTCAGTCCGTCCCAGGGCAGCTGTGGCTCGGAATCACACAAAGACTGGAGTTTGATTTGTTCTTTTCTTTGGTCCAGGACGAGGAGAAGCAGCTGACCGTGGTGACCGACCGATCCCAGGGAGGCAGCAGCATCCAGAACGGCTCCCTGGAAATCATGGTGAGGGACTTTTTTACTCCCGTGCGAGTTTACGGAGGAGGGGGCGGAGTCAGGGGGGAGGTGAAAACTCCACGAAGGACAGACCGTGATCCTTTGCTCCATTTCAGCGCAGACGACAAGAAGAAAGAACAGTTCTGACACTTTTAAGTCTAAAGGTTCGTTCACACCAAAGCGTCAAATCGTCCAGTTTCTACGTAAAGTCGATGTGGACGCGCGACTAGAGTCTTCGGCGTCAGCGCGGCGCGAATCTGGCGTCGAAGCGGCGCGTCTTGAGCGTTTTGGCGTCAGCGCTCCAGACGCGCGTCCGAGTCGTCGCCGTCAAGAAGTTGAAAATGCTGAACTTTTCACGTCAGACGAGTCGCGTCGACCAATCAGAGACGAGTATCCAGAGACACAGCGACGTTATTATCAGGAAGAAAAACCCCAGAACCAGAACCACAAACATGAACAGAGAATAAATATATACACCACAAACACCAGGACTAACCAGGACTAAACCAGGACTAAACCAGGACTAAACCAGGACTACACCAGGACTAAACCAGGACTAAACCAGGACTAAACCAGGACTAGACCAGGACTAACCAAGGACTAACCAGGACTAGGACTAGACCAGGAGACTTAAACCAGGACTAGGACAGGACTAGGACCGGACGGACTAGACCGGGACTATAGGACTGGGACTAGGACTAGGACTGATCCAGTGTCATTAGTGGAGTATAAATATAAACTCGCTCCAGTCGTTGAGTCGATTTCCTCCGCTGATGTTTTATGTTATAAAAACTCTAAAGTCTCAGTCTGGTCTGACATTGTTTCAGGAAAAGATCTGGACCGGGTTCTTGTTTCCAGGGCAACGGACGCACGTCAAGTATTTTTGTCCCGTTCGTCCGCGGCGTCAAAGACACGAGCGTCGGGGTCTGAACTCAAATGCAAAGGCTCCAAATAGAAACGTCAAGGAGTTTTTTGACGCTTTGGTGTGAACGAACCTTTAGTTCTTTAGATTAAATCTTGTCGAGGCTTTTTAAGAGGAAAAAGTACAGTTTTGTTTGTTCGCCTCCACAAAATATCATAATAAATATCGTACTGTGATATTTAGATATTGTTACATCTCTAATCTTGAACTTTCCCACAATATCGCAGTAAATATCGAACTGTGAGGTTCAAGCTGTGACGATATCGTATCGTGACACTTAAATATCGTTCCAGCTTTACTCCTTTGTCATAGATCCTCTGAAATCCAACAGATGAAAGAACTGACCGTCTTTTGAAACTTGTTTTTCTTCTTTCTTCTTATAATATTTTTCCATGTCTTGACCGTTGCCGCGGCGTCTCTCAGCTTCACCGGCGTCTGTTGTACGACGACGTCCGCGGGGTGGCGGAGCCGTTAAACGAGACGTCGGAGCTGTTTCCAGACGGTCTGGTGGTGCGCGGGACTCTGCTTCTGTCCCTGGACCCGCCCAAGAGCGCCGCGGACAAACACCGCCCCCTGGGGCAGGAGACGGTACTGCAGCCTCTGCTCTCCTTCACCAAAGGCAAACCGGAGCCCAGCGCCAAACTCACCGTGAGTGTGAACTGTGCGGCGCCGGCAGAGTGGTTAGCCCTGTCGGCTCTGCGGGTTAAAGGTCACGTTCAAAAATGAATCTAGTTGTGGTTTTAAGCAGTGACGCACGTGTTTGAGTAACTGTTATTCTGACTACATCTTCAGAGCTTCAAAAGTGTGTTTCCTCGTGTGTTTGTCGTCGTGTTTGTGTGTTTGTCGGTTTGTTTGTGTGTTTGTCGGTGTTTTTTTTCATGTGTTTTCTCGTGTGTTTGTTGGTGTTTTGTGTGTTTGTTGGTGTATTTGTGTGTTTGTTGTGTATTTGGGTGTTTGTTGTGTTTTGTGTTTTGTTGGTGTATTTGTGTGTTTGTTGGTGTATTTGTGTATTTGTTGGTGTATTTGTGTGTTTGTTGGTGTGTTTCCTCGTGTGTTTGTGTGTTTGTCGGTGTGTTTTCTTGTGTGTTTGTGGTGTGTTTCCTCGTGTGTTTGTTGACGTGTTTGTTCATGTGTGTGTTTGTGTGTTTTGTTCGTGTGTTTGTGTGTTTGTTGACGTGTTTGTTCATGTGTGTGTTTTCTCGTGTGTGTTTTTGTGTGTTTGTTGGTGTGTTTCCTCGTGTGTTTGTGTGTGTTTGTGTGTTTGTCGGTGTGTTTTCTCGTGTGTTTGTTGTGTGTGTTTTTTCGTGTGTTTTTTCATGTGTTTCCTCGTGTGTTTGTGTGTTTGTCGGTGTGTTTCCTCGTGTGTTTGTCGACGTGTTTGTTCATGTGTGTGTTTTCTCGTGTGTGTTTTTTTTCCTGTGTAGTTCTCGGGCCTCCAGGCTGCGCTGCCCCCTGCTGTTCACCTGCTCACTCTGTCTCAGTGGGACTCGGACTCGGTGCTGCTGAGGCTGGAGCATCAGTTCCAGACCCGGGAGAGTCGAACCAACTCAGAACCCGTCACCGTGAACCTGCAGGTACAGAACCAACCAGCGGCGTCATGATACTGAAAGATAAAACTGAGAAACTAAACCCTGAGATTTTCCACATTAAACGGTAGAACTTTCTTTTCTTTTCCCACGTGTCCTTATATCTTAGAGTCTTCAGGCCGACAGAGGCGAATCTCAAACCGACTAACGTGTTCACGCCAAAGAACAGAACATTCTGGAACTGAAAGGTTTTTTTCTAAGCGAACTGTGACGACAAATTGGACGTGAGCAGCTTCAGGGTCACACACCCTAAAATAAACAAAGAAAACGTCTGTGTGGAACATGGAGGAGAAATCAAGCTGCTGTGTCCGTGTTCGCCCGGTGAGGTTCCATCTTTGGATTGGGTGTCGCTGCCGCCTTCTCCACAGCAGGCGTTCCTCCAGATGTTTCTCCACAGCAGATGTTTGTCCAGATGTTTCTCCACAGCAGATGTTCCTCCAGGCGTTCCTCCAGAGCAGACGTTCCTCCAGGCGTTCCTCCAGAGCAGACGTTCCTCCAGATGTTCCTCCACAGCAGACGTTCCTCCAGGCGTTCCTCCACAGCAGACGTTCCTCCACAGCAGACGTTCCTCCACAGCAGACGTTCCTCCAGATGTTCCTCCACAGCAGACGTTCCTCCAGATGTTCCTCCACAGCAGACGTTCCTCCAGGCGTTCCTCCACAGCAGACGTTCCTCCAGACGTTCCTCCACAGCAGACGTTCCTCCACGTTCCTCCACAGCAGACGTTCCTCCACAGCAGACGTTCCTCCCCACAGCAGACGTTCCTCCAGACGTTCCTCCACAGCAGACGTTCCTCCACGTTCCTCCACAGCAGACGTTCCTCCAGACGTTCCTCCACAGCAGACGTTGTCCCGTAGCTCGGAGCAGATAAATGACTTGTAGAAGTACAGATGCTCTCTGGTGTTGATGATCCATGATTATTTTCCTCACTGTGACATTTGTTTTTGTTTGGTGATAAATCGATTCTCTCTGTCAAGAAAGCTTCTCGTTCACCGGTGAACACTTTTGGTTCCTCGTGTAACTGGTGCAGGATCTGACACCGGCACCGTTCTGGTCGACCTGAGAACATCTTCTGTGGTCCAGGTCTACACCAGGTCCTCTGATACTTGTCCTGATCCGAGTCCAGGTGGTTCCAAACACGTTCAGGAAAGATTCTGCTCTGTCCTGTCAGTGGGACTTTGGGAGGATCTAGTTTTGAGTCTAGTTTTCATATCGATTAGGTTCAGATTTTCGATGCTGCTGACGACCCTCCAGACTTAAAGGTGCTGGGGTCCGTCACCTTCTTGTTTCTATGGATGTGTCTTTACTCTGCCTGGAATGTTCCACAGTGTGACATTAAACAAATCTACAAATTCTGGCTGTGAGTCTGGTTTGGTCTCCATGAAGATAGAAAGGTTTAATGCCAAACTGTGAAACATTTCAGAAAAAGCAAAAACGTCTCCACGGAGAAAAGCGTTTTGATTTTGTTGAGTGTGTCCCCTTCCTCTGACCCCGGTGTCACTTAAACTCGACTTTGTTCTGTTTTTGCAGAAGTTGTTTTCCACCCTGGAGGTTCTCGGCTTCTCTGAGCTCAACCTCTCGGCCAATCAGTGGAAAGAAGACGTGAAGAGATTTGACTGGACGCCAGAGACAGAAGGTACAGAACAAGAGACAAGCGCAGGACAGGACGCGAGACGGAAGGTAGAGGACGCGAGACGGAAGGTAGAGGACACGAGAGGAGAGGACGGAAGGTAGGACGCGAGACGGGAGGAGAGGACGCGAGACGGAAGGTAGAGGACGGACGCGAGGCGGAAGGTAGAGGACGCGAGGCGGAGGTAGAGGAGGACGCGAGGCGGGAGGTAGAGGACGCGAGACGGAAGGTAGAGGACACGACTGACGGGTAGAGGACGCGAGACGGAAGGTAGAGGACGCGAGACGGAAGGTAGAGGACGCGAGACGGAAGGTGCAGGACACGAGACGGAAGGTAGAGGACGCGAGACGGGAGGTAGAGGACGCGAGACGGAAGGTGCAGGACGGGGACGGAAGGTAGAGGACACGGGACGGAAGGTAGAGGACGAGGCGGAAGGTAGAGGACGCGAGGCGGAAGGTAGAGGACGCGAGGCGGAAGGTAGAGGACGCGAGACGGAAGGTAGAGGACGCGAGGCGGAAGGTAGAGGAGACGGAAGGTAGAGGACGCGAGACGGAAGGTAGAGGACGCGAAGGTAGAGGACGCGAGACGGAAGGTAGAGGACGCGAGGCGGAAGGTAGAGGACGCGAGGCGGAAGGTAGAGGACGCGAGGCGGACGGAAGGTACAGAGGAGGTAGGACGGACGCGAGGAGGTGAGGACGCGAAGGCGGAAGGTGCAGGACGCGCGGCGGAAGGTAGAGGAGACGGAAGGCAGAGGATGCGAGGCGGAAGGTAGAGGACACGGGACGGAGGGTAGAGGACGCGAGACGGAAGGTAGAGGACGCGAGGCGGAAGGTAGAGGACACGGGACGGAGGTAGAGGACGCGAGACGGAAGGTAGAGGACGCGAGACGGAAGGTAGAGGACGCGAGGCGGAAGGTAGAGGACGCGAGGCGGAAGGTAGAGGAGACGGTAGAGGACGGAGAGGACGCGAGGCGGAAGGTGCAGGACGCGAGGCGGAAGGTGCAGGACGCGAGGCGGAAGGTGCAGGACGCGAGGCGGAAGGTGGAGGACGCGAGGCGGAAGGTGCAGGACGCGAGACGGAAGGTGCAGGACGCGAGGCGGAAGGTGCAGGACGCGAGGCGGAAGGTGAAGACGCGAGGCGGAAGGTAGAGGACGCGAGACGGAAGGTGCAGGACGCGAGACGGAAGGTAGAGGATGCGAGAAAACAGTCTGAGGAGGAGAGAGAGAGAAGAACAGAGGAGAGGAGCAGAGAAGAAAGGAGAGAGGAGGAGAAGGAGAGAAGTGGAGAGAAGAAGAGGAGAGGAGAAAAGGAAGAAGGGAGAAGAGGGAGAGGAGCAGAGAAGAGAAAAAAGAAGAGGAGAGGAGAAAGAAGAGAGGGGAGAGAGAAGGAGACGAGAGAAGAGAGGAGAGGAGAGAAAGAGAAAGAGGAGAGGAGGAGGAGAGAAAGAAGAGAGGAGAGGAGAGGGGGAGGAGAAAAAGAAGAAGAGGAGCAGAGGAGAGCCGAAAGTTGAGGAGAGAAAAAGATGAGGAGAGAAAGCAGAAGAGAGAAAGAGGAGAAGGAGGGGGAGGAGAGAAAAAAGACGAGGAGCAGAGGAGATGAGAAGGGAAAAGAGATAGAAAGAGGAAGAAGAATGGAGAAAGAAGAGAGGAGAAGAAGAAAGGAGTGGAGAGGATCAGAGGATGAAGTTTATTACCGTTTTTTTTTTTTTTTTTTTCATGATTATTTTCCGTTGTTTTTCCAGAGGAGAAGTGGGAGCAGAAGTCGTCTGTGGATCCTTCGTTTTGGGACGTGACTCTGAGGCCGATGGAGATCCGCACGTTCCTCCTCAGAGTCCGAGTCCGAGTCTGAGTCCAAGTCCGGGTCCGAGTCCGAGTCTGAGTCTGAGTCTGAACTTCTGTCACTGCGGCGAAACTCTGCACCAGCTCGTCTTAAAACGAAGATTCTGCTGAACCTGTTTTTAAATTTTTTTTTTTAAACTCCCCCCCCCGTGTTAAAACGTTCTCTCGTCAAAGCTCCTCGTGAAGGTTTCAGATCACGAGTCTCCGACCTTTTTCCTGCTTTTTGTAAAACGAAAAACGCCGGAGCTGCTCATTTTAACGATCGACAGAAATTTTGTAAATAAAAAAGTCGCGGAAAAGCCGAAAATGAAGCACAAAATTCTACATTTATTAAAAAAACAAACAAAAAAAAAAGGCTAGAGACTCCCGTTTTAGAGTCATCCGTGTGTGTTTGAGTCATCTAGAGATCTCTCCTGGGTCTCTCCTCTTCCAAACCCTGCTGTACGAGGCTCCGCCCACAAGCCCACGTCACGACAATTCTCCAGAAAAAAAACAGAAACTCGACAAACCTGTTCTGTGTTTTCAACCGTCGCTTTAAAATATCGACGTAAAAGATGAACGACGCGAATCTGTGTGTCATTTGTTCAGCTGTTTTTCAAAATAAAACTAAAAATGAGAAAATGGAAAACAAATTTTTTTTTAAAAATGTCATTATTTGTCTCCAAAACCAAAATGAAAAAACAGATAATGATTCGTTTTTTCAGTTTTCGATTTTGTGTTTAAATGAAAAATGGAAAAAACAAAACAGACTGAACCAGGACTAAACCAGGACTAAACCATTTTCGGTCCTGATCTCAGTCCCTGTCTCAGTCTTGGTTTCAATCATGGTCTAGTCCTGGTCTGGTCCCAGTTTTTGGTCCTGGTCTCAATTCTGGTCCCGGTCCTGGTCTCGGTCCAGTCCGTTTTCCGGTTTTTCCTTTTTTCATTTAAACAAAAAATCGAAAACTGAAAAAAAACAAACAAATCTTTGTTTTTTTTTTTCATTTTTCTGGAGACAAATATGAAGAAAATTGTTGTTTTTTTCCCCCCCATTTTCTTATTTTTGGTTTTATTTTGAAAAACGACACACGGATTTGTACGTGACTTTTCTCGTTGAGCGTCACCTGATTTTTAAAAACCTACGAGAAAATCAAACTGAAGACGGAAGAGCGAACGTTTTAATGTTTTACACATTTTCAGTAAATTTCACTCAACAGAAACTCAAATCAACCAAAAAGTGAAGAATAAAAATAATCCTCTTGATTGTGCCAAAGTCTGTGCAATAAGTGTGATCTGTTTTTCTGACTTTTTTTTGTAAATATGGAAATGATTTTGTATTTTTGAATAAATCTTCAGGTTCTTAAAACTCGTGTTTGGGTCTTTTTTTCGTTCACTTTTCTAAATTGTGGTGTTTTATTTTCCGTTTGTTTTTTCAGTCAAAGGCCGCGACTCATTTCTCTTTCCTCTCTTCCGACTTGTTTCCTCCTCGCTTCCTTCTCATTTCCTCCTCGTTTCCTCCCTCCTCCTTCTTTTCCTCCTCTCTTCTTCTCGCTTTCCTCCGCCTCCTTCCTTGTCGTTTCCTTCTCGCTTCCTCTTCCTTGATTCTGCAGGAAATGGGTGAGGAAGTCCCAATCCCTGTGTCGTTCATTTGTTTTTCAAAATAAAACCAAAAATAAAATTTAAAAAAAATAAAGATTTGTTTTTTCAGTTTTCGATTTTGTTTTTAAATAGAAAATGGATAAAGGACTAAAACCAGGACTGAACCAGGACTAAACCAGGACTGAACTAGATACAGGACCAGACCAGAACCAGACTGGGACTGAGACCCAGAAAAGGACCAGGAATAGGAACAGGAACAGGACTGAGACCGGGATTCAAAAACAGATTTTAAATAAAAACTATAGATATTTGTGACCAAATTTTCAAAATTCTAAACTGGGACACTCGGGTTTGGACGTTTGGTAGAAAATAAAATAGTTAAAAAAACGAGAAACTTTGTCAATCCTCGACTCGTGTGACTCGAGTAAAATCTGAGACTAAACACAGAACAAACGTGATTTTATTTATTTATGCTTCTCTGGTTTAGACCTGGTTCAGTCCTGGTTCAGTCCTGGTTCAGTCCTGGTTTAGACCTGGTTTAGACCTGGTTTAGACCTGGTTTAGTTCTAGTTTAGTCCTGGTTTAGATTAAATTGGAGACTTCTGGGACATTTCTTGTATAAATTGGGACAAATCAGTGGTTTTTGTATAAATCTGTGGGACAGAGGACACAGGGTCAGGACTGGGACTGTCCCGGGGACACAGGGTCAGGACTGGGACTGTCCCGGGGACACAGGGTCAGGACTGGGACTGTCCCGGGGACACAGGGACGTCTGGACTCTCTGATCGTTGGTCCGTTCTAGATTTGGTGACATTTGGAGCCTTTAACAACGACTCTTACAATTCAACAAAAAAGAGCAAAAGTGACGTCATCAGGACTTTAATGATCTGAACAAACAAACACAAAACACTTCGTCTCTGCGTCCACACTTCAAATGTCCAGAGACGGTCCGGGGACGGTCCAGGGACGGTCCAGGGACGGTCCGGGGACGGTCCGGGGACGGTCCAGGGGTCTTTGTCCAAAAACATGAGAAAAATAAAAATCCGGCTCTTTCAAAGTGAACTAAAGTTTTTTTTTTGGTTTGTTTCATTGTGGTTTGTTCTGGTCCTTGAGCTCCGGGTCGTGGGAGTAACAGCACTGATCCCCGTACTGACAGGTGCCCTGAAACACAAGGAGCGACAGGTGAGGGCCGTGGGACAGGTGCTGACAGGTGCTGACAGGTGCTGACAGGTGAGGAGTCTGTAAGTTGGACTTTATGTGGTTTAAATCTGGTGCCTTCACGTCCTGTGGGAATCATCAAACTGCTGAGATGAGATTAAAAAATGAAATTTAAATAAAAAATTCAAACTGTTAAATGAACCTGAAAAGAAAAAACAAGATTTTAAATAATAAAATTTACACCAATAATGTTAAATGTGATAAATGAAAATGATAAAACAGAAGAATTCTGCCTCATCAAAAGAAGAAAAAGGGTCAAAAAATTATAAGTAAAATAAAAATCTAGGAATATGGACATGAAAATATGTTTGGATCAAATTATTAATATTAATAATAATAATAACATTTAATTTAATTTATATTTTTGTGATTATGATCTTATAAAATAAAAAATTGACTCACCTGTTAAATTAAATATTATTAATATTAATTTAATTTATATTTTTGTGATTATGATTTACTCTGGGTCTCCTTAAGAAAATAAAAAAATTAAATAAAAATAAAAAGTAGACTCACCTGTTTGAACTTTTTACAGGGGAAGTTCTTGAGTTCAGAAGAGTCTGTGATTTTCCGTTTGTTCTGGAACTTTTTCCGTTTGTCCTGCAGGTCGGTGGAGATTCCTCCTCTGAACACAAACAGCACCAGACAAATGATGAACACTCGTTTAAAGCCTCAGTGCGGGACTTTTCTGGAGGTGGAAAGTCACCTGCGACATCCCATGAAAATACAAAGTTAAAGCCATAATACGGAACATATCACATATGTCCAGGGCCCAGGCCACAGAAGAGTCAGGTCTGTGGAGATGCGAGCGCCGCTCACAGTAAAGGAGCAAACATGAAACAAAAAAGTGTCTATTTTTGGTCTAAAGTGACGTACTGTGGCTTTAAAGCTGAATATATTGAAGCAGCTTTAACTCCTCCTCCTCCTTTTTAACAAACTCATTCTTACATTTGGACACGAGTCTCTGCTGATTCCATCTGAATCTGAAACCTGGGAGGAAATATTCCAGTGTTTGTGTAGATTTCCTCACGTCCTCTTGTACAAAGCTGTGATGCTCTCGATTTACATCACTATATTTCTGTTTTATTCACTTTTCTGCCTCGTTTTGTCTCT